CATCTCCTGGTGTAGGTGTCCTGAAGCGGGGGGAGAGCAATCCTGCAGCAGCGTTCTGCTGTACGGATCACTCTCTGGAGAGCTTGCAAGCTGTCACATGTGAACTGAAGAAAAAGTCACGCAAATCATCAGTCATGTATCATCTCACCCCGATACACGTGACATAGGGCTGCTCGATTAATCGAATTTTAATCTAAATTACGATCTGGGCTTTCAACGATCATTAAAAATGACTGAGCCAATTATTAGCCCCTCCCTCATGCTTTACTCTGGCGCTGCTCCGTGTGGCAAATTGAGCGCACCTCTTTGCGTTTCGAACACGTGGCACAACAATTAAGAGGACCCGAGGGAAGCTCGGAAAGCTAAGCAGAAGTTATTTGGAGAGGAGAGTGACTACTGTTGGTTGAAAAGAGAAAAACCTTCAGTGGTGTGGAAACATTATGGGTTCGTGTTCTTCATCATGGTCTCATTGATGAAGCAGAGGACTGTCCTGTCACATGTCTGTTTTGATAATTACGTTTGTTTGCAGACATCACCCCAACCACACACACACTCACTCACACTGTTAGCCCCGCCTCCACTTCAGCCTCGCATGTTTTGGAGACGGGTGGAGTTCTAATTGTGTTCCGTTGGTTCTGATCCAGGTTCTGCTCTAACTGCTGAGTGGATCTGTGTGACCCATCCGAGTAGCGATGGCAGCACGTGGGCGGGGGCAGAGGATGCTAAGTTTCACTATGGAAACAGTCAAAGGAGATGCTCCACCTCCATCGGTGCAGCAGCCCACACCTGTGTTTCCTGTAAGAGACTCACCTGCACCACTCGGGGGGGGGGTAGATAAGCATCAGACCAGGTGTGACCTAATGATGTCACTCAGTTCCCGCCAATAACTCATGCTGATAATAAAACGCCGTGTTATTGGCTCAGACTTTGGTCGTAAATATTTTGCACTTGTAACTCAGACGTTGTAGTTGTGTTAATTTGTTTTACAAAAACACAATTTATTTATTTTTAAGGTCTGTTTGCAGATACAAAGACCCGCAGGCACGACAAACACACAAATCCTCATCTATGCACAAACATAACATTTTCGGATATTTTGGTTACAAGGTTACAAACACCACAATCTGAGCCGCATGTTATCTCAGCACTCAGCTTCCTGTCCTCTCAGATTATTGATGTGTTCAGGAGTTTGACAGAGGTCTGTCTTCCATCACTGATCAATAATCTGATCAATGCACACAGACAGGCTGTAATTTAAGTCTAAAATTAAGTCATTAAAGTGGTGAAAGCAATGCATGCTGGAACATCGCGTTAATGCCTTGCTTTTGTCAAGGTGATGGAGCGGAAGCCCCTCCCCCTGACAGGCGGGGAGGAGGCGGAGTATCTGTTGGCCCTGAAGCAGGATTTCAGAGGCGCCATGAGGAGTCTGCCCTGCTTCATCCAGCCGCTGGTGACTCACAGAGGTCAGAGGTCACACGTCACACTTCGCTCGTCTTCCCGCTGATGATTTGCAGCTTTATTGTGAAAGTCTCACCTGTGCTTCATGTTTCCTGTCCAGATGTGGAGCGTTACTCTGATAAGTACAACAGAAGCGAGCAGATGGACAAGCTGCTGGACTGGGCTCCAGGTGAGGCTCCGCCCACAGCAAGTGATTAATCAAAAATCAGCAGCATTCACTGTTTTTTCAGGATTTATCCAATCAGAAACCAGGTGAATTTCTGCACATGCTCAGTAGAAGAATTTGGGATAAAAATTTTCAGGTATAAAATAAATATAAATACAGGATGCAGTAGCAGTAAACAGTCAACTGATACTATACAGTAATACTTCACAGTAGCAGTACACAGTAGCAGTAAACGGTCATACTATGCAGTAATACTTCACAGTAGCAGTACACAGTAGCAGTAAACACAACGTAATACTTCACAGTAGCAGTACACAGTAGCAGTAAAGGTCATACTATGCAGTAATACTTCACAGTAGCAGTACACAGTAGCAGTACACAGTCATACTATACAGTAATACTTCACAGTAGCAGTACACAGTAGCAGTACACAGTCATACTATACAGTAGTACTTCACAGTAGCAGTACACAGTAGCAGTAAACATTGTAAACTCACGAGCTACCGTATACAAGTAATACTTCACAGTAGACAGTACACAGTAGCAGTACACATGCAGTCATACTATACAGTAATACTTCACAGTAGCAGTACACAGTAGCAGTACACAGTCATACTATACAGTAATACTTCACAGTAGCAGTACACAGTAGCAGTAAACACATGTAATACTTCACAGTAGCAGTACGTGCAGTCAGTAGCAGTACACAGTACGCAGTACAACGAGTCATACTATACAGTAATACTTCACAGTAGCAGTACACAGTAGCAGTACACAGTCATACTATACAGTAATACTTCACAGTAGCAGTACACAGTAGCAGTAACAGTCATACTATACAGTAATACTTCACAGTAGCAGTACACAGTAGCAGTAAAGTCATACTATACAGTAATACTTCACAGTAGCAGTACACAGTAGCAGTAAAAGGTCATACTATGCAGTAATACTTCACAGTAGCAGTACACAGTAGCAGTAACACAGTAAATACACAGTAATACTTCACAGTAGCAGTACACAGTACATATACAGTAATACTTCACAGTAGCAGTACACAGTAGCAGTACACAGTCATACTATACAGTAATACTTCACAGTAGCAGTACACAGTAGCAGTACACAGTCATACTATACAGTAATACTTCACAGTAGCAGTACACAGTAGCAGTACACAGTCATACTATACAGTAATACTTCACAGTAGCAGTACACAGTAGCAGTAACGGTCATACTATCAGTAATACTTCACAGTAGCAGTACACAGTAGCAGTACACAGTCATACTATACAGTAATACTTCACAGTAGCAGTACACAGTAGCAGTAACAGGTCATACTATGCAGTAATACTTCACAGTAGCAGTACACAGTAGCAGTAACACAGTAATACATATACACAGTAGCAGTACACAGTAGCAGTACACAGTAATACTTCACAGTAGCAGTACACAGTAGCAGTACACATCATACTATACAGTAATACTTCACAGTAGCAGTACACAGTAGCAGTACACAGTCATACTATACAGTAATACTTCACAGTAGCAGTACACAGTAGCAGTAAACGGTCATTGTATACTTCACAGTAGCAGTACACAGTAGCAGTAACATACTATACAGTAATACTTCACAGTAGCAGTACACAGTAGCAGTACACATGTCATACTATACAGTAATACTTCACAGTAGCAGTACACAGTAGCAGTAAACAGTCATACTATGTAAGTACTTCACAGTAGCAGTACACAGTAGCAGTACACAGTCATACTATACAGTAATACTTCACAGTAGCAGTACACAGTAGCAGTAAAGGTCATACTATACAGTAATACTTCACAGTAGCAGTACACAGTAGCAGTACACAGTAATACTTCACAGTAGCAGTACACAGTACAGTACACGTCATACATAAGTAATACTTCACAGTAGCAGTACACAGTAGCAGTACAATCAATACGATTACGTACATACACGTAGAGTAGGCATACGTAATACTTCC